TGGAGTCCGGGACTCGCGACCTGACCAGCATACCGGAGTGGATCGATCCGGAGACCCAGGTGCTGGACATGAGCGGCAACAACATCTGTCACCTGCCAAACAACATATTTATACACGTGCGGCTAACGAATCTGCAGCGTCTCTACTTGCGTGAGTGTCGTATCGATCGGATCGATAGCGAGGCATTGGCCGGCTTAACGAATCTCGTGGAGCTCGATCTCAGTAATAATATGCTGGCCGCGGTGCCGAGTTTGAGCTTCACCGACACGCCATTCCTGCGCGATTTGGTGCTCGCGTACAACCCGCTTAAGCGGATTCGCTCGCACGCGTTTAAGAGCACGCCGAATTTAGTGAAGCTCGATTTGTCGCACACGCAGCTCGTTGAGATCGAGGCCAAAGGTTTTCGCGGACTGGAAATGCTCGAGAGTCTCAAGCTGAGCAACAATGAACTGTCCACTCTACACCAGGGCACCTTCGAGCCGCTTAACAAGCTCACTAGCATCGAGCTGCACGAAAATCCGTGGATCTGCGATTGTCATCTACGTGAGATGAAGATGTGGCTGGTGAAGCATAATTTACCGACCATCGTGGCGCCTGTATGTCACGGGCCCCAGCAGTTGCTCGATCGTGCCTTCACCGACCTCGGGATCGACGACTTTGCCTGCCGGCCAATTTTGCTGATAGCCAGCCGTTATGCCGAGGCCACCATCGGCGAGAACGCTAGTATCGTGTGTCACGTGAGAGCGGTACCAGCAGCAGACGTCAAGTGGTACTGGAATGGGCGGTTGTTGACCAATCACTCGGCTTTCAGCAGCTATCAAAAGATCCTCATCTTCGAGGAGGGCCAATTTAGGAAGCGGAGCACTCTCATTCTCACCAACGCACAGGAGGCGGACTCCAGCGAGTTCTACTGCGTCGCCGAGAACCCCGCTGGCTCCGTCGAGGCAAATTTCACCCTGCACGTGTCTCTAAGGACGGCGGGCATGTCAACTTTAGGCTCGGGCCAGATCGCGGGGATATCCGCCGCATTGGTGGTGCTCATACTCTTCATCCTACTCATCATTCTCGTATTATTCATTCGTTTGCGGAGAATGCCGCTGAAGGACATGAAGTCGTCGGCGCCGATGGAAGCGGCGTCCAGTGACGGTGTCGGCAATGGTGGCAGCGGCGGGGGTGGCGGCGGCGGCGGCGGTGACAACAATCCGTCGTCCGCGACCTCGACCACTCGCAGGAAACATGAGGAGATCGAGACGACGTCGTTCGCCCTGGAGTCTAAGCCACCCGCGTCGCTGCATCTGAGCTACGTACAGAGACCGCACGCGGCCGTAATGCAGGATAACGAGTACAGCACAATCAGCCGTTTCGACGATCAGAATCAGCCCGCGATGGCGGCGATGCCGGGTGCCGGGTGTTTCTCGTCGACGACGTCCTTGATGCCGATCGATAATCCGGATCTCATCAGGGACACTCGGCGTGGCTCCACCGAGGACATCACGCCTTACGGCGTCACCGATTACGGCCGCGTCGAAGCGCTAGACGACGCCGGTAAGATGCTCTACACCAGCTGCCTGTGGGAAGCGAGGGACAGCTGCGGCAGGACGTCCGCCGTCTCGGCGAACGTGTACCCGTCGAAGGAGCAGCTCGCGGTGGTCGCGCCGGTCGTCGAGCAATTTCCACCCGGCGCGAAGCAGATGAGAGTCTGGCAAAAGGGCGTCCCGGTGCTGCCGCCGGTCTCGGCGCTGAAACGCGTCCTGGGATCCACGCGCAGCTCGCCCGATGAGGGTTATCAGGAGGGCACCGGTACCGACGTCTAGGTACCGCTACTTCATTACTGCGATGCCCGGCACCGTTATCTGGAGCTACGTAGACGGCACCAGGAGGACGACACCGACTGCTAAGGGAAGAATGAAGAAGAAGAAAAAAAAAGAGTTGTCCTCACGAGTGCCGGGCGGGCGGTAGTGAACAGGAATACAATGTGCCGGACGAATCTCGCGTTTAAGTGTGATCGCGTCAGTGTGACAATGATCAAGAGTTAACGCGTAATTATTGTTGTGCACAGACTACTCTTTACAACTGGACGAAAGCGTTACGCTCGCAATCGCGTTTACGTACAGTGATGGAAGATACGACATTATACAGTTTCACATTCAACTTGATACCATCCAAGTCAGCAAGAGCGATACCACCTTCCAATCGGGAAGGTACGGTACAATGGAACCATAGACAAGACGTGAACAACGCACAGCTCACCTCTAAAGACTGCCATAACTAAAGTACGCGCATCGAATCGCTAGGCGTATGCAAGGAGCTTTCGAGAGGTCAATGAACGCGTGGATCGTTACTGCAAGAGATTGACATCGTGGCCACTGAGAATCGTTTGCGTCCTGCATGAAGTTTCGCTCGAATGACTTACATGGTCGATTGTGTTAAGTAACTTAACACGAATCATGAGTTTAAGCGACTTATGAGACTAGCAAAAATGACGATTGGACTCTTTCGAATTTATAAACCATCATCGATACCCAATCGTGAACGAAACCTTGCAAACGAGCGTTTGTAGTGGTGCGATCTCTTTGAAGGCGGTCGACGGCAATTAGTGACACAGTTAGAGATGTTCTTGTGCGCGGTGCGTGTGGTGCAATCAATTGGTAGACGTTCGGTTCCGTTTGTACTTGTGTCACGAGGGTTGCCTCCAGTGTTCGATATCGACAATGTTAACCTGTACAGGATGTTCCGAAAAAAGTGGTCGACGTATGAAAGATGACGACGTTTGTCGTTGCGAGTGATACGAGTATGTACGTCCTGAATAACGTCTCTGAAACTACTCACGGAAGTTTGTATTTAAGAATACGTAAATATCGCGATTGATAATAAAATTTTACAAATCGAATACGCAGAAATCATACGTATTTTCAAGTTCACGTGGTGATCTCTCGTGAGAATCTCACCACAAACTTGAGAATGCAAATTTAGGTATATATTCATTAAGATTCTCTTACACTCGCAACGATTGACATTATTGTCTTTCAAAATATTGGCCTTTCCTCTGGAAACATTCTGTGTAATGCGGCAATGAAAGTCGATCGCAAGGCGATGTCTCGCGCATACGGAGTGCATACAGGAAATGCATACACACGACTGACACGACGTGCACCAAGCCAGGGACGAGGGAAGTGACGACGATACGCTACGCCAACCACGTCATTGTCTGGGCGGTTGTGCAGCACAATATCGACGGGTAATACATTTGTATAATGGCTAAGCCAAAGCGGTTTGAGTCAGTTGGGAGGCTGAAATCTCCCGGAATAAAAAATTAGGTAGCTCCCCTTAAGACGATAAACGGCGAGCACGGAGACTGGCAGTACACGTTTCCGGCGATGAGGCTGGCGCGTAGAATTGCATAGGAAGCGAGAAACGACGCTTAAGCTACCAAGTATCTCTCGCGGATTTTTTCTAGTCAATTTGGTGGAAGAGGGAAAAAGAAAAAGAAATAAAAAAAAAAATAACAGAAATGCGAACGGATTCACGGAATTATTTATTCGGCGGGACGGGAAACTCGCGCTGGCAAAATGGCGCGATCTCAATTAGGAGAATACACGAGATAGTCTCGTTGAGTCAACATTGGGTTATTCCCTCGAAGCTTCGGTCGACAAACTCTCACGATTACGGACCGGCGAGCCTATATTGTTGCTTCGAGTGGCTGGGGCGGGGGGGTCCCGAGTGGCTCTCGTGTCCGAGACGAAGCCTCGCGAAAACGATCGAGCAGGGGATATGGCGGCCGGATGCTGCTCTGGATCCATACTTACGACCGCACGTTCTCCGATTCGATCGCAATCGCGGTCTCTTGGCGGGTAGTACCAATTTTTCTCGAGTATTCTGTATGAATTTCGCTACGCTTTTATCCGATACAAATTTATTTTTCTATTCTCATTTTATTCGGAATACGGCTTGATTGAATTTCTTATATTTTATTTAATATTCAATTTAGTAGTAATTAAATAAAAAAAAATCGATATATCGTAAAGCGTGGCTTTCGTAACAATTTTGCTGTTTATTTTGATATTTATCAGCGTTAAAAATATGTATCTCATATTAAATTTTATACAACAAATATTATACATAACGGTGTCGGTCAATAATATTAGTGATATCTGATATTAAAGCTTAAGGCTTTTTCAATATTAGTGGAGTGTCATTTGCTAGCACGTGTGTTGTGACAATGAATCCAGAGTATATGCAGGTCTTGATCGTTGTCTTTTTGCACATGCAAGCCACTAGAATCAATTCTATAAGACTGTGATAAGTCCCTAAACCAATCGCGAGCGAATGTATACTATTGCTCAATCACTAAAGCTGGATTTCGCGATTGATTGGTTGACTTATGCCCGCATCTTACGTAAGTGAGGCTCTGTCGATTCACGCATTCGAATGAATCGTATTGTCAAGTTGGATTATTATGCTTCTACAGGGGTATTTTTGTATTTCATGTTGAACGATTAATTTAGAGAAAATCATTGGATGTTTAACATTTATCAGTAAGCAACAAACAACCCATAATTAAAAAAATTATATAAAATCTTCGCAGCAATAGAAAAACTCTCGTAACAATGTATTGTCTTTTACTTCATAAATTGATCTTTATTGGATATTTTTCTTTTATAGATTTTTATTTTAATAGGTAGTTTTATTTTATAAATAATATTAAGCGAGAAAAAATCGACTGAAAAATATTCAATACAAATTAGGGAAAAAGGTCATGTTTGGTCAAAAGTAACGCTTAATAATACTTTTATATGAATTTTTTACAATTTCAAATAAACTGCTTTTTATTTTATAGTTTATTATGCATCATGTATGTGTGACTTTAACATGCTATCTTTTTCTGAGAAAAGAAAAACAATATTTTCTTTAATATATTTGCAACAAAAAAGACTTACGATTTTGTAGCAACGAACAATTTAATCAAACATTACAAATCATTTCTCTAGACATCAATTTGTCTTGGAGACATTTTCCTACCCCTAAGGGAGATAAATTAACTCGATCTGACGATAAGTCAAAACGCCAGTCGCGAGTTTCGGTTCGATCGCCATTTAAAGTGTGACGACGTGCATTCATTTTGTGTGCCGTATATAAGCGTGTACTCGTGTGCGTATGTAGACGTCTGTGTACATGTGGATGAGTGCGTAGATGCGTGTGTATTCGTGTTTTTGCGCGTACGCGTTTTTCCGTTCGTCGAAAAAGCACGCGGCTGAGAGAGCGCGCGCGCGATTCGGCGCTTTGCGTTTATCACCGATTGTTCTGTAGCGTAACGTGTGGAACGACCGGTTTTTCTCTGCTCAATGATCTCGAAGCCGTATCCGTCATATCGGAAAAAGAAAAAAAAAAAACAGCGTTCCGGAAATAGCGCCCGCGGCCACTCCGGACGATATGTCGCGTGTATACACAGAACTGAATCACTCGGACTTTGCATTAATTCTTATATCTAGAGAAAAGAGGACGAATATAGATGACATATACGTGCGCGACATATAAGTGAATAACGTTGACTACATGAGCCCTGATACGATTGTACTGAATATTCCGAGAGTAAGTTTACAAGGGGATCGCGGAACTTCTCTGTCTGATAATTTCTATCTTTCGTTGCGCGTAATTAAAAGTCGTGGTAATTAACCAGTCTTAAGTGACGAGAGAAAAGTTTCATAGGAATGTAAAGCGAGTGACAACAGTTACGTTACTTTGAAACGAGCTCGACCGTCGTTCGGTTACCATTCTTCTCACACGGATGTGAGTCGATGTTTGGTACATGCGTGTAAAGAAGACGAGACGATCTCCGTGAAGTTAGCGACCCCATTTTTTAGAATGTTCCATCACGTAATTCACGGAGTCCTGTTTTTCTCGTCATTTATTTGTTTGTCCACTATTTTAATTGCTGTTTTATCCGAACAAACGGATTACGAATAATCGGTTTTTGTTTCTTCTCTTTTTTATTTCTCTCTCGGAAATTTCGTTTCATAACAATTTCTATTTGAAGAATGCGCCGTTACTCAATCCTACCTATCATTCGTATAGCGATCCGCTCGTTAATCTACGCGAACCGAATTCGTCCTCGAAAAAATTTCGTTTCGCTTATATATGCGATGTTAACAAAAAATTGTACGATATGCAAGCTCGCGAATTTTTCTTCGCGGACGTCGTTGCGTGTTAACTTTCGAACGTGGAATCGCTCATCTTAAAATCGTGTGACTCTTACATTTTGTAAAATCGCGAACTAATGAAAATGTCACGTTTTTTTTTTCCCATACAACTCTATTATCTACTAGTTTAAAATGTAAATGTTTTCGAGCGTTCTCACGCATATACCGGCATGTCGATCGCTCAAAGCAGTCAAGAGTCAACTGTTGCGTGCAAGTGAGTCTTTATATCTGATTTCCAGTTTTTTTTTATACCTCTCGATCGACGTGGCACACAACCGAGTGCCACAACGCCACATGCCGGTTCAATATACGCAGTGATAACACTCGTTGTCTATCTAGCGACTATAAGGCATGTGAAAGGTCTAGAACCTGTGCAAAACTCAATGCGAGCTATACCAATCGGAGAAACGCGATATTAATTGCGATTTACTGTCAAAATCAAAGTGCGAATTTTCGGGGTGTGTATCGATCACGCGATATCACAATTTACACACGTTATTTAAAGGAAAATCTTTAAAAAATGTGTTGGATAAAGTAATCTAACGAATCAGCTCGCCGGGAAATTACACGAACGTAATATCGTCATGAGGAAATATTAATTATTTATGAAACTGGAGCACGATAGAGATTATTGTTATAAAGAATTAATGTATGATAAAATACGTAATATATCAGAAAAATGACAAATGACTTTGGCAATTGATTCGGAATTCTATTCTGCGAGGATCATTTTTAGTAAAGATGATCATAGAACTAAGAGTGATCCTCATTGGCTCCTTTGAAAGTTTTGCGCTCTAAAAATGTCTTAATAATAAAACTTAGCAAGTACACTCGGAATAATGCTATTTCATCTTATATTGATTTGACCATTGATTTTCTTTTTCCTGAATTACTGATGTATATTCGAATCAGTATAAAGATTCTTTATTTTCCGGAATCCTTCTTCCGAAAAATAAATAATTGTTGATGCGTGACATGCGATATTGCGTGAAACGAAACTATCGTCGTATACACAAATGTTTGTCCTACAGGCGATTTTATATTTGTTAATGACAATAACTTATCGAATAATTTATTCAAATTATGTTCAACATTTCCACGTGCTATTTTGCACACGATAACATTAAAGTTTCATTATAATATTTTCTATAATTTACCATCGATTAATTTAATACTGTATTTGACAACAACAGCTTAGAATAAATTAAAATATATTTAACGCTAATGAAATATGAATAAACATTAACTATATAAAGCTAATTTAACTTTTAATATATAATTAAGCTTTTAATCCAAATTTTGACAATATAAAGCTCAATTAAATTGATTTGTAAACGAAAATTTCGTTATCGCCAATATCATTCGATTCATAAGGGGAAGATGTTTTCAATTTAAACACGTCCACATGACTTATCTTTTTTTTACAATAGGCAAGATGACGCCAGTCATTATAATTTTTGTAATTGTATTGCGAACGCGGTTACGTGTTTGCATATTTTTACGAGAAAATATATATGAAACACTGCCGAGGAATGAGGAGCTATACGAGACGAGCCTGTGCTTACGTAAACAACCCTGTGCACATATTTTCTCACTTCTTAAGGTAATTTCGCTCGCTGGGAGGAGCTCGTCCTTCGCTCCTAGCATGAAAATATGCTTTCGTGACCGCGACGTTCGATGCTCGGTTCCTTCGTAAAAATTTACACACCTCGAGCTTTCGTACTTTCGGTACCGTAGGTGTATTAACGTAATGTTACGCAGCGACGGATTTAGAATATTTTGGGCGCAAGACGAGATATTCCGAGCCCTTAAAAAAAAAAGATATAAAATAAACCAGATGAATTTTATAGCTATATATGTGTATCCCATATCGTAAATATTTTTAACTAGAGTTTATAAAATTGTTATAATATTTTAATGTTTCTTATTGATGTGGCCGAGACTGGCCGTATAGCTTTATTATCTAGGCCAAAGTTCGCATCAGTTGTTACGACTCATTATTGTCAGAATATAAATACAGCATTCAATGGTATTTCCCGTTGTTGTATTGTGGAGTAACAAACGAGTACTATCTGTCTTAACAATTGGCAGCAATAAATCGTAGTAACTACCAATCGATCGAGAAGTATTTTAAATTAAAGCGGTAACAGGACAAGTGCATGCGTGAGAGTGAAAGAGAGAGAGAGAGAGAGAGAGAGAGAGAGAGAGAGAGGCAGGAAGAAAAGGAAATAAGGGATTGAAAGACAAAGTGTTATTTTGTTGGATTCGTTTTGTACATAGACAATAATGTACGAGGACTTTCATGA